ACATTCTTATTTTTTGGTAAGTATTATACTTCCTTTTTCTTTAAGCCTTAATACTCAATAAATAGCAATATATTAAAAGGATGTCCATACCCGACCTATATTATATATCAATAATTTACGGCAGTAGGTCGTGTACTTGTAACATTAAAAATATAAATACATACACACTTCATTTACTTTTTATTTTCAAGCGTAATGGTTGTTATATTAACCTATACCTACATTTTTATTAATATTATGGAAAATTTGTACACGTGTGGTAAATCCCCGACATACAGCCGCCTGACGCCTCTCTATCAATGTAGTCATAACCGTGGCCTTTATAACAGAAAAATGGATTACTGATAAATTCTCAAGATAATTCATTTCTTACAAGTTGACAGCCAGTAAAACATTGCATTGATCTAAAACTTTTACGTTTTAAGGAACCATTTTGCTTAAGCCAGCCATACGACTCAAATATATAATTATATTTTAAAAGGCACCGATTTTGTTAATTTTCATAGATTTTTGTTTCAAATAAATGTTTCTCTTTATTTACCTTTTCGTTTTATTTACTACCACCAATAGATTTTACTCAAATAATAGTGTTAATTTACACTAGAAGTTTGCACTAAAAGAGTAAAAGTACCTTTCTAAAATTAGAACTTTTCCAAAGTAGTGTTAATTTACACTGAACAAAAGTGGGATTTTACCCAGGAAGTGTAGAAGTATACGATTTTAGTGTTAAATCATACTTGCTTACTTAGGGAAAATTACACTACAAATTAACTCTAATTGTAGTATTATAAAACAACACTATTTAGAGTTGATTTTTTTTTACTGTGTAATATCATTATTTCATACATCTCATTATCACATTAACTGATTAATTAATGGCCGCTTGCACTGTTTTCTCTAACAGTTAAATAATCTGACAAGTTAAAAGGTAACAGGAGATTAGTGTCCAAAATCTTGCACCGTGATTTTTTTTACTATGGTTTAAAATTTAACTAGTGATCTAGGGAATTTTACTAAAAAATGGAAAAGATTGGTGGAAGGAGTTCGATTCTTTATAATCTGTGGTTCGATTCTATTTCAATTCAGTTGAAGGTGAGAGAGCTCTTGAACTCCTTAAATAGGCACCTATTAATTTGAAGTCAAAAAGTAGTGTATTTAATATTTTTATGATTCCAGATATGTGTGCATATTCATTCAGCCAATCTTCGAAGATTGTTGGATTGGTAAAATTTAACAATTTTTCTGCTTTTCCAAATTTGGCCAAAGTATCAAACTCCCACAGCACAACACATAAATATCTGGATTAGCTTCCGTTTGCGCCCGGCTTAAATTTCAGCCCGTCTCAAGGCCGCGGCGAAATAAATTTCATTTTCAGCGAATCAGAGTCATAACACGGGTAATCACCGACAACAGAAAAAACAAACAGGGATTTATTTGTGTGACTAATTTTTTGGCAAGCTGTGTACGGAATCGTTTAGCATTTGTTTTTTTTAATTTACGACTACAAGCTTAACTTTTGGCACAAGTTTCTGCCGGATAACTTCCTTCTGGCCAATTAAGTAGGTCACAGCATATTTCGGAAAAGTAAAACCTGTGTGTTTGGAATGTTTACAACTATTATTAAGCTTTTTTTTATCTTGGCGGACAGTTATAAGTACAAAGTTACTTTAATTGGTGGTTAACGTACAACATCTGTTTCTAGGTTATGTTTGTATTCTTTAAAGTATTTATGTCGTTTAAATAATATTATCTCGGTAAAGTATACAGGGTGTTTCACGTTCGTGGTCCATAGAAGTTTCTGGGGAACGGAAAAATGTATCGATTTAAAATTTTAAAAGCGTTTATAATCCATTTTCGATTTATTATTTTTTTTTTCGATAAAATTTGAGAAATGCGCATTAAATATTAAATTTATTAACCAACAATATTTTATTCAAGAAGAGCAACGTCTAAAGTTAAAGGAAAAATTAAGAAATGCTTGAATGAAAATAAAGGAAACTTTAAACATTTAGTACTCACCCGTCACAGGTTTCTTGATACAAAACAATATTTAAATTGTTGAATATCTTTTTCTACTCCCACCTTTAAAACTCCCTTTATCGTACTGTACGATTCGTACATGATTCCATGACACTAAGTGACCTTTTAAATACACATTGACAAGTTGTGGCTTTATGGCGCTTTAGTCACAGGCTGAAGTTAGCAACAGGTTTTTAGTCACGGGCTGAAGTTAGTTTTAAGTTAGTTGACAGTTGTCAAATGTCATACAATCGTTAAAATAAAGTGTCTTTCTTGTAAAATAATACTAAATGAGAAAATTATTTTATTATCTCAATACAAAAATACAAAAGTATTAAATAGTTTCTCAACGCCAATATTTGAAAAGTTTATATGAACATTGTACTGACCTTTTAATTTCGCCGGCAGTAAACTATAACTTAAATTCAGACACGGGATCCACTGTAAAGTGCTCATAAAACATTTTCTTTACTTTCACTGTGAAAAACTGTCAATTTTCAAGAAATACATTTCGATTTATAACCTTTACAATCTGTTTTTATAAAATAAAAAAAATTGACGTTTGACGGTGACACACAGATTCCCCTATTGTTTCATAGATGGCACTCTATACAAATTTTTGATTTAAATCATTTTAAGATAATAATAAGTATTTGTCGTAGAAAAAGTATAGTAGGTATGCACCTCGTTTATAAACTTTTCTAAACACTTATTAATTTAAGCACTCGCTCCCAAGCTCGCTCGTGCCTAAATTTAATTCGTGTATAAAATACTTGATACATAATATACTATTATACTTTATAAAGTATACCTATAAGTATAGGAAATACCAGGTGTTATTTAAAATAAAAAAGTTATTAACCTTTCAAGTTAGCCTAATTTGTCCTGGGTTTTCTTAAGTAATATGTTTAAAAATGTCAAAGAATTGACATCTTTTAAACAATGTTTTAAGATTCCAAAAATTCTATCGCCATTTGTGCAAACCTAATAACAAAAAATTTGTAGGCTATTTCTGATTGATGCACATTTGTCAAATGTTTACGAAAACTATTCACTTTAGGTATTGTCCATGGTATAGTAATTTTACTAAAAATTTTATACAGAATTTTAAAAAGCACGTTATTTGTGTTTTACGTTGCAAGGAAAAAACTAAAAAACTGGTATAGTACTCGATTTCCATTGATTATTCTTTATATCATTGATTAAGAAACTCAACGCTTAAATGCTTATATGAATAGTTAGTGTGTGTATTTTATGGTGAATTATTGTGTTTTTAATTGTAAATAAATATTAAGAACTAAATCGTTGCATTTTCATGTTTTGCCAAAGGATCCAATTCGGTAAGTACATTTGTTGGTGCAGAATTAACTAATGATAACTTTACCTAATAGAATTTATATTTAAGTTTGGACATTTTTAAGACATTAGTAAAACATAATTTTTCCACAAACATAACCTTAAAATCAACCATTTTTGTATTTGAGTTCTCTAAAAAACGCCGACAACTGCATTTTAAACAACAAAATATACCTATGCCTCATGGCAACATCATATTATATATAATACATAATATAATGGTATTTTACTGTTGAGTGGACACTTTAAAGAATTCTTAATCAACGATTTCAATAACGCTAAATGCTGTTTAAATTTAGACGACTATTTGTTTGACGAGTTTTACTGAATTGAAATGTTTACACTTTTCACGGTAATCATTACTAAAATGTGTATTTATTGTATTTAATAGGGATATTTACAGGGACTGTATGAAATTTATTTCCTTATTCGGATTAACACAGTTTATTGGAAAACCGATAAAAACTCAACCCAGGATTTCCTCTCGAAATACACCCAACAACACAACAAATCGTGCCACGGTTTTTATTTTGATATTTTTTAACATTTTCCGGCTTTATTCTCAAAAACACTCGTTTGTAAGACACGCGTTTGACAGCTGATTATCAAAAGTTCTACTTTTGTTACGATAATAACAGCTGAGTGATGGCGCTACTAGCTCTTTAGCGTTTACACGCTTTTAAAATTTCAAATCGATATATTTTTTCGTTCTCCAGAAACTTCTAATACCAGGGGCGCGAATTTCAAATATAAAATTTTAAGAACTAATGTTAATGGTTTTATCACAATCCACACAACAATGTCTGTTCTATCTCGTACTAAAAATACAAAAAATCACTGCAACATTGCTTAACGGCGGCCATTTTTGTTGTTTACAATTTTTGTGCTTTGGGTTTGTGCTCTGTTTATACAGATTAATAATCGTTTTAAACGTTGTGTTTCTCATAGTAAGCCTTAAAAGAGTCCTTAAAGTTCTAAGAACAACCATTTTACTCCTCTATTGTAAAAAATAAACTTTATTCTCTCAGGGCAGTCATAAAACTGTCGAATGTCAATTTTAAGGTTAAATTATAACCCACAATTATAACCTTCAAATTGTCATTTGACAGCCCTGATAGAATAAGGTATATTTTTTATAAAAGAGGAATAAAATGGTTGTCCTTAGCACTTAAAGGCCTTATTTGAGGCTTACAAGTGCCTCTGTAAGAAACCCAACGTTTAAAACAATTATTAAACAGTACAAACCCAAAGCACAAGAATTGTAAACAACAAAAATGGCCGCCGTTAAACTCTGTGCAGTGTTGCAGGGATTTTTATGTTTATGTTTTTAAGAAGACCGCATAAGTTTTTTACCCTAAAAGACAAAGATGGAAATGTGATGGATGTTGTGTTGCTTACAACCGTCAGAAATATGAAATCTTCGAAAATGTTGTCGCAATATTCAACGATAAAATTAGCACTTAATTTTCATCATTAAATTCATTGTTTCTGTACCCATAAAAAACCATGTGTAAAACTTTACATTTTTTGAAGTTTCAATATACAGTAGGCAAGATAAAATATATGCATGAAAACTTTGATATATCCATAGATGACCGAAGGTATATATCATTTGACATTTTAAAATGACTTCTTCGAAGAAATTGCCAATAGTAGTTTTATTTTTCGGCAACCTACTAACCTACATGAACAGATTTGCGATAACCGGCGTACTGGGAGACCTAGAGTTGCACCTCGAGTTAAAAGAAGATGATATTGGTTTGATGCAAACATTTTACATTGTGGTGATGATATTCGGATCCCCTCCTATCGGATACTTCGGCGACAAGTTCAGCAAGAAATGGGTGCTAACAAGCACGACTCTGCTATGGATTATAACGTCTGCAGTGGCTTCATTTGTGTGTCACTCATTTTGGATTTTTGTGTCTCTAAGAGCGTTATCAGGAGTTGGCGAAGCGGGGTTCATAGCTGTGGCTCCTGCTTTGATAAGCGACTACTATGATGTACCGGATAGGCACAAGATGTTGGCGATATTCTACTTGGCGTATCCTTTCGGAGCTGGTCTGGGTTACATCGTTGGGGGTGAGGCGGCAAATAAGTTCGGGAATTGGAGATGGGGGATGAGGATTGTACCGTGCTTCGGCGTTCTTATACTCGTAATGTTGTGTTTCTTGAAGAACAACCAGATTAAAGTGAAGACCGCACTTCCCTCGAACTGGAGGCATAATTTGGGGATGATTCTAAAGAATAAAACCTTCATGTTGACCATGGTTGGATGCACTTGCATGGCATACATTGCTGGACCATCGGGGTGGTGGACGCCTAAAATAATATCTCTAGGACTACAATTGCAGCAGAAAGCAGCCCATACCACCAAGTACTCGTTGGTAGTTTTTGGGATGTTGGTTATACTATCTGGTATATTGGGCATATTATTTGGTTACATACTCAGCAAATATCTAGGAGCTAAGTTTGTACGTGCAGACCCTATAATGTGTGGTGTTGGTATGTTGATGTCAGCGCCTTTCATAGCTTCCTCATTCTACCTGGTCCTCTATAGCACCACGCTGTGCTACCTTATGGGCTTCATGGGCTTCACTATGTTAAACTTACAGCCAGCTGTGGTAAGCAGTATTATTTTATCAGTTATTTCTCCAAATAATAGAGGGTTGGCTCAAGGCGTTCTCCTCTTTTTCTGCCACACTTTCGGAGACTGCATAAGTCCGTATATTTTCGGCCTGACCACCCAATATTTTCGACTGTTGTTCGAAATAAAAGGCGAATTTACTTACATCAACCAATTTAATGGATTTCTGTGCTCGATTTTTATGCTTTGCATGGTTGACGTATTGGGAGGTGTAATGTTTTTTATTTGCTCGTTGTATATTAAACAGGATAGAGAGCAAGTTAATATTGACCAAATAAAAGCTCCACAAGAAGTAACTATAAAGGAAAACAAAGTAGAAGAAGACATTCTACATTTAACATAATAATTTTTTTATACATAATTAGTTTAGGTTCTAAAATGTATAGTTAGTAGGTTTAAATAAATATTGTAATATATTTTTTTTGCAGACGATTTATTTTTATGAAAAAAATAAGTCCATATCTACAATATGGACAGGATTGATAGCTTGCACTTTTTATATACATACATACATACAATGGATTGTTCTCCACATGGTTTAGAAACCGTACAATAGAATTTAAAGAAGTTCTACACTGTGTGGAGAACAATCCATTGCTCACTATATGAACTCTAAATCGGTGGTATAGGATGTTATACATGAAGAACTCGCCGACGCGACGGTGGACTAGTGGTTAGTGGTGCTGACTACAAGCCGGAGGTCGTGGGTTCGAATCCCACCAGGGGTATGACTACGAAGCAAAAATTGTTTAGGTATGTTTTGGGGATACCCTGTATTATATATAATTCTGATTTTTTCCCACCAAATTTTACTATTGGCAACCCTTTAGATAAAACGTCAACAATATGGTTATACAAATGTAATGTTGGCATTTTCTTATAGTTTTTCTATAAAATTTTGGTAAAAATGAGTGCCAAAAAGGCTCGTTGTAGACTGTACCCTATTACAATAATATCGATAACAAACTTATTCGTATACATGAATCGAGTTGCAATAACTGGCGTATTAAATGAAATACAACAACAATTTTTGTTGAGTGAAAGTGGAGTTGGTCTCTTACAAACCCTGTACATTGTTGCCATGATAATAGGAGGCCCAATTTTCGGCTATTTCGGTGATAGATACGATAGAAGGAAAGTAATAATAATCGCAACTATATTGTGGATAGTAGCAAGTCTGTGGGCTTCGTTTATATATGATTTAGTGGAAGTATTTTTCCTGCTGAGAGCGCTAGCAGGGGCTGGTGACGCAGGGTTTTTGGCCATCGCTCCTGCTATGATTAGTGATTATTATAAACCTGAAGAGAGGTATATCATGTTGACGATCTACTATCTGGCCTTTCCCTTTGGAGCTGGTTTGGGATACATGGTTGGTGCTGAAATAGCCATACTACTGAAAAATTGGAGATGGGCCGTAAGAATTGTGCCGTGCATAGGTGTACTATCAGTTTTTATGCTTTTTTTCTTAAGAAAATGCCCGCGGGGTGCAAGTGAGGGGAGTAACTTCAAAATCAGTGCGTGGAAACAGGACGTGAAAGCTATAATTACAAACAAAACTTATCTTATGACGGTAGCAGCGTTTACCTGCGTTACTTTTATCGGAGGTGCTTCAGGATGGTGGGCTCCCAAAGTTTTAACGATGGGCTTAAACCTTCAAAAAGATGAATATGATTCCTCCACACCGTCCCTTCTCATATTCGGAGTCGTTGTTGTCAGTTCGGGCATCATCGGCGTGACTCTTGGCTACGGGTTAAGCAAGTGGTTGAATAAAAAATACGACCGAGCCGACCCGTTGATATGCGGTATCGGGATGTTCATATCAGCCCCGCTGATGGGCTTGACGTTCTATACCGCCCCTTATAGCACCACGTGTTGCTATCTACTGGGCTTCGTTGGGTTCACGGCGGTCAATCTGCAACCAGCAATAGTCAGCAACATCATTATATCGGTCATGCTGCCAACGCGAAGAGCCCAGGCACACGGCATACTCCTGTTTTTGTGTCACGCCCTGGGCGACTGCGGGAGCCCATATTTCTTCGGGCTCACGACGGACCTATTCAGACCATTATTCGAAAAAAACGGCCAGCGCACTACCAGGACTCACTACATGGGGTTTTTGTGCTCCATTAGCTTGGTGTGTTTTGTGACGTTCCTTGGGGGGGTTTTTTACTGTATATGCGCAATATTCATAGCCAAAGATAGGGAGAAACAACGACAGGAAGTGGCCAAACTTGCCGAAGAGATAGATATGTAAATTATTAAAGTGTTTAAAACAGAATTTGTTTGGTTTTATTTCTCAACAAGGAGGGAAAACATTTTGGTTTTTGGGGGACATTGGACTGTCCCAAAACTAAGTACAATCCGGAATCCCCCTAAACTAGAGATTTAGTACTACCCCCCATTCAAGTGGGGTTCATGAATGAAGTTTTTGTGGTTAGTTCGCTGCTTCGACCTATCCTTGATGGTCTCGTACTATCTGTTCGTTTGCATCCGTGTCTGCTAAAAATTACTGTGCTTAAAGTTCGGGCTCTGCAGTTCGACCCACTGTACGAAACCATTTCTTCAGTCTAGGGTCGGGAACCATCGTTAGATAGATTTCTGTAGTCGGCAATGTAACTATTGATAGTTATCAATAGTTTTTTTACTGTTTATAACGAATTATGCGAAAATTATCTGTAAAGGAAAGTAAGTAGATACAAAGCCTTAGATTTATAGGTCAATTCTGCGCACATCTGTAAGCAAATCTGTAACTTTCTATAAGCTTATAGACAATTTGCAATTCTGCGCTTCCTGTAGCTTACAGAAAATCTTATAGAATCGTAAATATTTACGATCGGGTGTTTCCCAATCGTTGCTAGTTACAGTTTGTTTTTGTTAGGTTATGTAAAGCTATTAAAAACATGAATATTTTTAATAATGTCAATGTGGATATGATAATGGTAATATTTATCAATTGGGACAAGCAGTCTGCGCCAACTACATTAGAAATAATTTCAATTTTGACTAAATAAAACAATAGTTGTATTAATAGGTACAAAAACATTATATTTTTATTTTACATATGAAAATAAAATAAAATAATATTCTTGAAAAAAATAAACCACAAACCTACTAGGTCAAATATCAAAATTTGGATTTAAAAATTTAATTTTTTTCATTTCAAATCTTAATTGTTCTTCTTTTAGCTTTATATAATTTTCTAAATAGTTTTTAATAAGCTCAAAATGTTTTTTTTGATTTTCTGGTCCTTGTTCAAATTTATTAAGTTCATGCCATAATCTCCATCCATTGCACCACTAACAATTTTATTCATTATATATTATATGTTCTTTTAAATGTAAAATTATCTTACCTCATTTTATTCCTCAACCAGTTTAAATTTTTTACTTTTTGTATTATATTATATGCTGGTACACAAATGAAAACCGATAAACTGTGGATAAACCAAAGAATACATATAAAAATATAGGTTATGTTTGATCGTAAGTAAATAGGCGTTTATACTACTTTAAATTAAACATTTACAGATAACATCCCAGAATTGCCACTTTTAGGATTCTATAAGCATTATAGTTACAGATCATCGTAAGCTACAGATTTACGAATTTACAGAAATTTTACGAGAGAACCCAGAATTGACCTATTAGTTCGGTAAAGACTTATAGAAATAGTAATGTGTTGGCATGTTTATTGTTTATTGTTGTTGTCTAGGTGACTGCACTTTTGTTTATGTTAACGTCTATTGCCTATCGCGGCTGTTTGTTTAGTTTTAGTACTTGTATATGTTTTGTTCCGATTTATATTACGAATAATCACTGTGGGAATTCTCTTTTTCTTGTTTATCTGTTTTGTTTTCCTGGGTCGCTTTGAAGACGCTTAACCTCTTCGAGAAAATGCAAGATTACTTTCTTAGTAGAGAATGCAAGTTAAATCATGCGGAGTAAAGCTATTGAACTTATCTTTTGTTGCTACTTTCCACTTGACCCTCTTTTTGGTTCCTTCGGGAGACTGGTACATTGAATTCACCTGCACAGGTAGTGCAAGTGATTTCTTACATTATTCACTTGTTGTTTTGCACTGCACTTCTTTATTAGCGCTTTGCTGATTCTGTAAGACATCGGGAGACAGGTACATTGCTTTACTTGGACAGGTAGTGGCCCTGGGTTTTAATTTAGCACTGCATACACTTAAAATTGCCTATACTTAACTATCCTGTGACCGATTTACAGATACTGATAGGCTGTATTACTTACTCTCTCTTTGGAAGCGATCGCTGGCACGTCTGCATCTTATGATGTCTAAAGTCGTACCTCTTAAAATTATATTTAAAGGAAAAAAAATATATTAACCCCTAGGTGTGCGGTATATTATCCAGCTTTGCTTTATACTTTATGTGGGTTGTCTTTAATTTAAAAAAACGGCCAGCGCGCAAGATTGCGCTTTTATTGTTGCCGCATTAATATTAATAAAGTTGAACGTTTTTTATTGCGAGGCCCCATTTTATGTTTTCAACTTTTGCCTTATAATTTACGAGTCGGAGCCGCCCCCGTCGCATTTATTAAGATGAAACACAAACGTTTTACTTTTCATTTAAGAAACCGTCGCGATAAATTTAATCATCAGTTTTTAATTGCGCACTTTGCCCGAACATTTGTTATTTCACGCAGTTTTGAAAGCAATTTGGAAATGTAAGCTTGATTAAGACATTTATCTAATGAAAAACATGTGTACAAAGTGAGTTCCAAAGTAAAAAGACATTTTTATGGCGTCTATGTCTTTCACTCCCTCACTAAAAGAGTTAAAAACCCTGCAACGTTGTTCTGGACCATTTTTTCACAATAGTGTGTAGTGGTCGGCGCTGCGGACTAAAAGCCGAGTGCTTATGAGTTCAAATCACAAATGGGTATGGCTGTTTATTTGTGTTTGCCCTGGGTTAAGTTAAAAAGCAGCTGGTGCTAAACTTTGCCCTTTGATCATTGATCAACAAAGGCGTTAAAAAAAGTCTTTGCTCGGTAAAACTGCCTCGCTTCATTGTGGTTGGGAAAATGGACGCCAAATCGCACGGTTAAATTTTTACCTAATACTCGGAAAGAAATTTTATGATAAAATAAATCAAATCCATTTATTAATTTAAGAAAAGTCAAAAATTATCCTAAATAAATTAGTTTAATCTAAAATAGAATAAATCAAGAAAAAAACTGACAAATCTTAGTGTTTTATGATAAATCTGTACATTTCGGAACAGTAAAATTTTAGATTGGTCACAGAAAAAGTGTTTCTTAAACCAATCAAACATTAAGATTGGCTCTATGTAACGTCAAGCTTAATTTTCGTAGGAAAGATACTCAGATCAACTCTTGCATTATTATATTCTAATTTGGATTAATTTTATCAAATAATATATAAATAAAACTAAATGGATTTAACTTTATTTTTAGTAGTATAAGTAATTACAGGGTGTTTTCTTATAAATGGGACACCCCTATAAAATCTTTATTTAAAGAAATATCAAAAAAATTTAAAATCCAGCTTGCATGGTTTAAAAGGGTAATTTTTTTACAAAAATTTAAAAACAAAAAAGCATCGGTAAATTTAATAAAATAGCATTGACATTGTTTTTTTTTCAATGAAACACCATGTAAATTTTTAAATAGTATTTTCTTCCGATGCTCTAAAATTCAAAATAAATATTCTAAAATATACAGGGTGTTCCATTCAGAAAAACAATGTTATAGGTATCTATTTTACCGATGCTTTTTTGTTTTGTAATTTTTGTAAAAAAATTACTTTTGTAGCCCTTGAAGCTGGATTTTTTAATATAATATAATATAATATAATATAATATAATATAATATAATATAATATAATATAATATAATATAATATAATATAATATATATAATATATTATATTATCTTCAAATAAAGATTTTAGAGGGGTGTCCCATTTATATATACGTATACGAAAACACCCTCTACATTTGGAATAAAATCAATAAAATATTTGCTTAATATCTCTACATGCTAAATTAAAATAATCCTGTCTGGATTAAATTATTAAAAAAATTTACTGTATATTAGAAAAAGACCTATAAATTATGTACTAATATTATTAATCAAATATAAGACTAATTCTATCCAATTTTTGATACGACTATCCAATATTTGATTGAATTAATAAAAGTCCGCTAAAATCAAGCTATTATTATCTTAACCAAATCTATAATATAAGGAGCAAATTTAGCAAACATGCCAATTTTTAGTTTTTAACGCGTCTGTTTGCAGTTGCTCTTCGCGTGTAGTGAGTTGTAAACGATCGTGTGAGTACGTGTCCGGTTTTAGTTTGTTTATACCATCGTTATTATTGAGAATATTAAAGGTAAGTAACAAATAAACCATTTTTTATAGGTATGTTTCTACCCTCATTTTTACCGAGCATTTTAACTGTCAAGTGGACGTCGATTTCTTTGGAATGCGAACGAAATCGGGACTGTTCTGCGCACCACGTGAGATATCTCCGGCCATTATCTTTGATATATTTGCCGCCGTAAAATTAAATTTTAAATGTTGTTTTTTAAGTTTTAAATTAAACGCAAATATTTTAAAACTTATACATTATATTAGTCAATTAAACATAAAAAGCAATTGTTAAACCATTATTATTTTTTGTATTTTGTACCTACTTATAAATTATTAGATATTATATTAAGTTCTTTTTTTATGAAAGTTTGTAAACTGAAATAAATAAGTATTTATAGACACAAAATTTAGTATACTTTACTATCACAGATTATTACGAAAATCAATATTCCAGTCAATAATCAAATATTAAATAAAATAATTACCACATCAAACAAGTTTTATTTAATTTTTAGATTAAAATATTAAAAAACTTGATAAATTTAATATATTTTTTACTAACTATTTTGCACATATCAATCAAATGATCTGATAAACTTTATCCTAATTATTCTTAATTTTGCCAAATTTTTGATAACTACTACTTAAAAAATAGATTAAACTGACCTAAAAAGAGCTTAATTGAATCAAAAAATTGGTAAATTAAAGAAAATATTATTTAAATTGTAGAATATCGTAGACCAATTTAATTTAATTTTTACTATTATTATTCCAAATTTTGTTGTGATTTATAAAACTAATTTGCTGCTATTTATCACGGTTTGATACATTTAAGCATAGCAAGTAATTTAATCGAACGAATTATTGGATAATTTTGGATTGGCGCTA